CCAGGTGAGTTTGTGACATCCACAGGCAGCTGGGCAGATGAGCGAGAAGGCAGGTGGACCTGCCAGGCTCGGGTCTGGGAGGGAGATGGTCTGATTACATGCACTTGGTTTCCAGCCCCTGTTGATTCTTGTTGGAGGTGGAAACCCTCCTTTTGAAACAGGAGCAGAACCTTCTGGAGTTGGGCTGAGGCGAGGTGGCCGCTGGTGAGCCCTGCCTGTCCAGGCCTCTGAGATTGTCCTCAGAGCCCTCAGGGATGCTCCGAGGGCCGTGCTGAGCCCGGAGGAGGGCCTGAGCACCACCCTTCCTGGAGTTTGCCTCCCTCTGGGGGCAGGAGGGTCCTAGCATCCAACAGAGGAGGCTGCTGGGGGCTGGTCCCCAGGAGTGACCCAGGAGTGGAGCCACCCCCACCCTGTGGGGCGATGGCCCAGGTAAGAAAGGGCTACTGGCACCAGAGGCTGGAGGGCCCTGGGAGCCCCGAGGCTGGCCTCTGTCCAGAGTGGGGACCCTGGGGGCAGTGAGGACCAGCGGCTCAGCCGGGTCTGGGGAGGGACATGGGACATGGAGCCAGGGATTCTGCCCTCTTCCTGACCTGCTGCATGTGGCCGAGGGACATTAAATGTCCCCAGCGGGGTGCCTGGCCGAAGGGACTGTTGCATGTCCTTTCAAGGTGAGAGGCTGATCCAGGACTGAAAGGGAAGGGGAATCCCAAAGTGCTGGGAAGTTTCCCAAAGTTTGTCAGCACTAGGCAGTTCCTTCCATGTTCATCTCAGGAGGAAAAAACTCAAAATGCCAGCACGTAGGCTTAAAGGGGCCCTTCAAGGAAACCCTTCGAGGTTTTTCCTGCCTCCTGAAGATGACGAGACTATGAGGGTCCCCAGGGCAGCCTCGGCCTGCAGTGCAGGGACGGTCCTACATGGTCTTGGGGTCAGAGAGAGCCGCCCTGAGAGCCGGGCAGGAGTCACTCCCGGGGCACAGATGGGGACAGTGAGCCCGGGATGCTGACGATCTTCCCAGACACACACCAGGAGGCAGCGAGCACACCGGCCCGCTGGACACGACGGCCCAGAGCTGCTACACAGGGACCCGGGGACACTGCGACCAGCAGGGTGACCTCGGGGGGTCGCTTTGCCTGTTTGCACAAACAGGACAGTGGTGGTCCCCACCACGCAGACTTATCGCGTGAGGACAGAATGAAGTCATCGACACCAAGGGCTGAAAACGGGCCTGGCCCCTCACCCGCTCTCAGTTAGTGCTCATCAGTAGAGTGTCTGTTCTTGTCATCCTGCTCTGCTGTGCACACCTGGCTAGAGGGCTGGAGCACTGTGTGGGGGAGCCCCGTGTCCATTCCTGTCGCTCCTCTGCTCCGGCTCCCACCGTGGCTCCCTGTGGCCTGGACGTTCTTTGTCAGTGCTCTCTGTTGAAGTCCCACACACGCCATCACGTTCTCCCCTCTGTCCTCACTCCACAGCCCTCTATGGAAACAGACCCACTGTGTGCTGGCCCTGCTCCAGCACCTCCTGGCCGTGGCCGCAGCTGCTCCCCAGGCCCCACCCTCCCCGGTGAACTTCAGCCTGGAGGCTGAGGCGCTGCTGGCCTCTGAGGCTCAGCTGGGAAGGAGGGAAGAAGAAAGTGTCAAACATTTCCCTCCAAAATGTCATTTGGACAGGAAGCATGTGTCCCGTCCCTCGTCCCGGCTTCTATACGCTGTGTCCTGCACACAGCGGCACTTCTCCGTGCCTGCAGTCGTGTGGGTGGGGCCTGCCTAGCCAACCCCAGGTTCTGGAGGAGGGGAGACACGTTTTGTGCTGTCATCCAGGCAGTTGTTGCCCTCAGGCCTCCTCCCAGGAGCCTCTCCGGTTGCCTCCCTGACGCTGCGGCCTGGGTCTCCTGACCCCCGCTTTGTCCCCTCCAGGAGCCTCGCACACACCAAGCCCTGAGCAAGCGGCTCTCTGCTGAACTCTGCTGACATCCGTCCCGGGACCAGGCAGCGGGCTGAGCTGTGTGGGTGCTTCCTGTGGAAGGACAAGCACCGACTAACAGAAGTGCATGCGTCCTGGGGCTGTGTCACCCGCAGGACACTCCTCACTCTGCTGACCGCACTGCCCCACAGGAGGAGTTTCTGGACTTGCCTTAACAGAGAGGGACAGTCAGATCTCAGGGTCCTGGCGTCTCCTGATGGCTGAAGGGCCTTGGAGACAGGCCAGTCCCTTATTTGCGCTGCACGCCCTCTCCACCAGCCCAGACTCCAGGGACAGGAGCTCTGTCATTTGGGCTCCGCCGTTCCGTCCTGAGAAACCCGCAGTTCTTCAGCGGTTGTGGTGGAGAGCCATACTCCGCCCTCCCCGGGGCCCTGACTCCCCCTGCTCCCTGCCCCTTCCCCTCCTGGCTGGCTGTCTCCCTGCACACACTCTGGTTTCCCTCCCCCTGAGACCTGACCCCTTTCATTTTTTGGGCAGGTGGGAGAATTCGCTCCAGGCTGGGCTCATTGGGGTGGCTGAGAAATGCCTCAGGGGAATGAAGGCTCCAGGATTCCGGATCTCACGGATAGGGGCGTCCCCACGGCCACCCCTGGTGCTCCCGGGAGGGGAGGCTGGGCAGTTCCCAGCAGGTGAGCTGCCTGACGTGGGAGCATGGACTCGCCCCGACTCAGCACCACCAAGGACTCACACCATGCAGGATCCACGGAGCCTTTGGGATGCGTGATTCTCATCCTAAGCTCGTCCTCCCTTTCCGAAAATCCTCTGTCCAAGAGTTCGTAACTGTCACCAAGGGCACAGCAGAAGCGTGTAAAGAGGGCCGGCGGCTCCGGTGGGACCGTGTCTATGGTTCTGGAGGACGCTCGCTGCCTTCTGCCTGATCCAGAGCGCATTGACTGTTCTGCCACGAACATCTTTGACGAGGGAACATTCACGGAAGGAACCTTCTGGGCCTCTTCGCCCTGGAGCGGGCAGCCGCACTGCCCGTGTCATGACACGTGCTGGCCCCGTTGCCAACTGTCTCCACGGTGGCCACCCTGGCTGGTGGGGCAGGTGGCCTGGTCGTGTCACATGGAATGTCCCTCCTCGCTGGGCCTGCTGCAGAGGGCTCCCGGAGCCCCTCCTGTTGGGACACAAAGCTCTCTGGGGAAGCCTTTCGGCAAAGACAGGAGATGCCGTCTGCACTCAGTGCACACGAGTCTCGTCGTGACGCGAAAGGAGGGAAGAGGGCAGCCACTCACTCGGTCATCTGCCTCTTCATTCAACAACACGCAGTCTGAGCAGCCCTGACGCGTTGGGTTCAGGTTCAGCGATCTCACCGCTTCTGAGGCCCGGGTTCATTTCCCGGTCTCAGAACCACACCAGCCGTCTGTCAGGAGCCACGCTGAGGCTGTGGCTCACACAGAACTGGAAGGACTTATGACTACGGTGTACTACCACGCACTGGGGCTTTGGGAAGAAAGGAAAAAGGAAGAGTGGAGAGACGTTAGCCCAGGAAGAATTTTTTCCACTGTGGGGGAATTGAAGTGGCCACCCCAAGATACGTCTCTTTGGCATGAGGGTTATTTTGGGCTGGCTGCTTTCAGACACTGCAGACATTGGAGAAACTCTGAACAACAGAAGTCACCCTTTGTAAGAGCTGACTGCTTTCCAGGCCTGAGCTGGGGGATATCGAAGTTCGGAGACGCAGAGCACAATGCACCAGCGGAAGTGGTCCCAGAAACAAGGGGGTGCTGGTCCACGTCCCCCCAAGCCTCGCGCCTGCCTCTGTCTTGTACGTGCCCACCACCGCAGCCTCCTTCTGTCTGGGACGCCTCCTCCGACTGCTGCGGTCAGAGCCTGCAGCCCTCCCCACTAGATGCCACCTCCCTTTAGACTGCCAGCAGGGGGTGAGCATGTGCTGAGCTGGGCACGTCCTACCTCTGTCCCCTGCACAGGGGACTGTCCTCCTGTTGGGTCCCCGCCTTGTCTTCCCAGCTGGGCTGTGCTCTTCCAGCAGGATCCATGCCTCATTACCCTCGGGGAGCCCGTGAGTCTGGCCAAGCGCCCAGCATGTGGGCTTCACCGAGGGGGAGCCTCACGGGCAGAGGATTTGTGGAAAACCGAACCAGTCAGTGTGAGTAAAGCCCAGGGAGGAGGTGGGAGTGCAAAGGGCCGCTGGGGAGAGGTCACAGAGGGTCCGAAAGCCCACTGAAGCAGTGGGACTGGCCCTGAAGGGAAGGGGGGCCCTGGACAGATGCCGGGAGAGCAGCACCGGAGGACCAAACTCTGGGCTGTTAGGTGTAAAGAAAACCACAGCGGGGGACCCGAACGGGGAGCAACAAGCCTCCCAGCATGTCCGCAGCCCTCCTCTTCCTGGCCCTGGCCCTGCACTCCATGGGCGCAGGGAAATCTCTGCCCACTCTCGGGCTGGGACCATCCCGAGCCGTCTCGTGAGCACGTGGAAAGACTGCACACAGTGCCACCGGCCTCGCGAGCAGCAGCCAGCGGCCTCCTGGCCATCCTCAGGCTTCTGAGGAGCCCCTGCGGAAGCTCCCTGATGGTTGACCCTCCCTCTGGAGCCCCAGGATGTCTGGCTTCCTGTCACCTCCCCTGGAACCTGCAGCTGTCCGAACAGCCCACACCTTGTTAGCGCTCTTAGGGGCCTGCTCCGCATCACCGTCATCAAAAGGAGAAATCGTCCCAGTGCCCAGGGCCAAGTCCTGCGATACAGTCGGAAGACCCATCTGCACGTGGAAGTGACCTGAGGCCGCTTGGGGGCCCACACCCTGCCACCCCGACCCCCCAAGGGTGGCTCACGGACTCGGTTACCCTATCTGGACCTCTCGCTTGTAGTCATAAAAGCCACAGGCTCGAAGTTTCCCGTGCTGCTTCTGGAAAGGTCAGGTAGTGTTAGCCACGGTCACTGCCTTTCTGCCCTCCACTGTGGCTCCCAGCCTTGTCCCTTCAGACCTGCATTAGTTGCTAGGAGCGTTACCCCAAGAATTCTGAGTCACTTCTCCACCTAGTTGTTCCGATCTCCTCCTCGTGCTACATCCCTACACGCGTCTCAACCTGGAGCCCGCCCAGCCGCCGCTCTGCATAAGGAGGGTGCAAAACGGAGCATCTGTGACACAGCTTTCTGCAGCAGCAAGTTTATTACAAGACTTGGAAAACCGAGGACTTTCCGAGACCCGACCGTCAGCCCCTCAACGTGGAAGAAGAGACGGAGAGGACGGGGAGGGAAGCTGTGCTCCGGGAAAAGCAGTCCAGGCTCTGAGGTTCCACCTCAGTGGGGCCAAGGGGCAGAGCGGTAGTGAGGGTGGCCTCTCCTTGTGTCCCCCAGGTGCCTCCAGGCCGTCCTCTAGGTTCCCCGAGTGTTTGGCGCTGTCAAGGGGGGGACGGCCCCGGGGTCTCATGGAGGGGCCGGGCTGGGGGTAGCGGGGCCCCAGTCCAGGCTGGGCAGAGTACCATCAGGCTCGGCGGCCTTCGGCCCTGACTGCGGCTTCTTGCTGGGCTGCTGACGGCCAGCTTCCCGGAGCCAGGTAGGCAGAACTGGCTCACTGCCAGCGCGCCGGCCGCGGGGCTCCAAGGCCCTCCGCCAGGCCGTGCAGTGTGGCGAAGCACGGCAGCACTGGGCCTTGTTGGATGGGAGGGAGCTCGGGGGGCTGGCGTGGCCACCCCCCTGCGGCTGATGGGCCTTCAGCATCTCGTTGGTCCCCCAGGTGGCCATCGTGTCAGCAGGCGGCTCCCTGTAAGGCCTCAGCCTCGGCTGGCTCCAGTTGACCCACGGGTCAAACATCACCTCCTGCAAGGTCTTCCTCTTCCCAGGGTCGAGGGTCAGCAGGCCTCTGAGCAGCCGGGCGCACTGGCGCCATACCAGCCTGGGCGGCGAGTAAGCCCCCAGGAGCATGCTGCGCTGCATGGCATGGAAATCCTCCCCCCAGAGCGGCAGGGACCCGGCAAGCATGGCGTGGAGCAGCACGCCGAGGCTACAGATGTCGGCCGGGGGGCCGTCGTAGGGCTGCAGCTGCATGACCTCCGGGGCCATGTAGCCGGGGGTGCCGCAGAACGTGCTCAGCGGCCCGCTGGGCTCCAGGCTGCAGAAGCCGAAGTCGGCCAGCTTCGCGCTCCCCGCCAGGTCCAGGAGCACATTCTCCAGCTTCAGGTCCCGGTGTATGACGGCCCGGCGGTGGCAGTACTGGAGAGCAGAGACGAGCTGCCGGAACCGGCCGCGCGCCTCCTCCTCGGTCAGGGCGCCGTGCTCCATCAGGTGGTCCAGCAGGTTGCCTCCACGCACATATTCGCTGATGATGAACAGGATTTCCTCACTGTCGATCACCTCCACCAGCCTCAAAATATGGGGGTGACACAATCTCGCCAGACCCTGCGTTTCACACAGAAGTCTCTTGTCAGTGGCGGCGCTCTAAACATCATACCCAAGAAGGAGCTGGGGCAGGGGGCCCGTGGCCCTGAGTGTGAGTGTCCAAGAAAGGAGGTGCTTGGGGTGTGGATGGCTCCTGGATGGGTCGGTTTGTATCTGGAATGTGGGCCCACGAAGGAGGGCTCTTCCTGGGGTGGGGGTGGGACAAGGGAGGCAGGAGTCTGAGCCGAAGGGACTTGGGACAAGGCGTGTCCCATATGCACATTCAGCCCAGAGGTTAAAGCCTCAGGTTTCCAGAAGCTACAAACATGGCCCAGACAAGGCTCAGCTCCGACGTCACCTCCTCAGAGGAGCCTTCCCAGCCTCCTGTGTCCACAGTGTTGGCCTCCCACCCCGGTCTCCCTCACGTCAGCCCTTTCATTCCCCTCACTGCGTTCAGAGCCAGGCCCCCGGCTCAGTACCCGCTCAGTGGGAGACGGGCAGGAGGTCAGGGTGCCCCTTCATTCAGAAGCTTTATTCTTTTCCTTTTTTGTTGTGAGGAAGATTGGCCCTGAGCTAACATCTGTGCCAATTTTCCGCTATTTTCTGGGCGGGACACCTGCCACAGCATGGGCTGATGAGCAATGTGAGTGTCTGCACCTGGGGTCCAAACCTGCAAACCTGGGGCCGCTGAAGAGGAGTGCAGGAGTTTAACCACTATGTCGCCGACCCGGCCCCAGGATTCTTTTGATAGCCTGTGGCAGAAACCCAAGGGGCTTGAACTAGCAAACGAACAAAGCAGGAGAGAACGATTTCTGTAACTAGGCCATCTAAAGGCAGAGAGCTTCAGGTGAGGCTGTACCTGGGTGCTCGACGCCATCAGCAGGGATCGGCCCTCCCAGCCTCTTGGCTTGGCTGCCTGCCCTCTGTGCTGCTGTCCTGCTCAGGGGGAGCTCTCCACCGCCACTCCCGGGCTGGCCTCAGCACCCATCAGCAGCCCAACAGAAAAAGAACTTCTCTTCCCCAGGATTCCAGCCCTAACTGCTCCCCGTTTCCCAGGTGGGAGATGGGGTGCCTGGCCGGGCCAAGGTGGGACCGGCTCTGAGTTCACATCAGCCCCGCCGTCGGTTCCCCTTTAGAGAACCCAGCAGAGATGGGCTAAAACTCAAGGCCCACATCCCCAGGGCCCTGGGTCCTTAGTGACACTCATAGGTAAAGGCTTGTTTCTGTGACCTGTGACCCCTTGAGCTCTAGAGCCAAATGGAATTAGCAAATTGTTCAAGTCCAGATGGGCTCCCGCTGGGCTCCCACTAAAGTCATGCTGATCCCAGGACTTTGAAGTCCTTTTACAGAGAAACTAGCGTCCAGAAAATATCCAGAAACCGAGGCTTCCCACGCCCAGCTCCTCGGCTCCCTGACGTCAGAGTGCACCTTCCCCCGTGGAGACAAACAGCCGAGGACGCTCATCTGAGAAACCCTCTGTCTCCTCGGCTGGAAGCAGCCCCAGACGCAGGCCCATGGGAAAACGCTGACCAGGAAGGCCACGGCACCCTCCCCTACCTAAAGCCCCAAATCAAAAGCCCCACCCGTTTCTTAACGGGGAGCTAGCAATTTGGGGGGCCCTGGCTCTTGCTTTGCTGCCCCTGCGTGGTGAAGGAAAGCTTTCCCAAAGGGAAAGTTTCCCAAAGTTTGTTAGCACTAGGCAGTTCCTTCCATGTTCATCTTAGGAGGAAAAATCTCAAAATGCCAGCAAGTTGCCTTCAAGGGCCCTTTCAAGGAAACCCTTCGAGGTTTTTCCTGCCTCCTGAAGATGATGAGACTTTAGGGTCCCCAGGGCAGCCTTGGCCTGCAGTGCTGGGATGGTCCTACATGGTCTTGGGTTCAGAGAGAGCCGCCCTGAGAGCCGGGCAGGGGTCAGTCCCGGGGCCCAGATGGGGACACTGAGCCCAGGATGTTGAGGCCTCTGGAGGAGTTCTCCCAGCAGCTGGTTAGAAATGAGCTTCTCGAGCTCCGCTCCACACCTCCTGCATCAAAATCTGAATATGAATCAGACCCCACATGACCCACGTGCACCACTAGTCTAAAGGACCCATCTCTGAACCCTCACAGTCAGGAACGATGGGACTTCCGTTAGATCTTGGGTTCAGACTTTCTGGAACACAGGATGGCAGTGTGTATGAAGGAGGCTTAAAAATATTCATGTTCTTCGATCCAGTATTTCCACTCCTGAGACTGTTGCTTAACGAGATCATCAGAGGCAGGGACAAAGGATGCTGCGCACAGAGACGTTCACTGCAGTGTTACTTGTACTCAGAAACTGCGGCATGTTCACAGACAGTAAAGGGTGAAGTCAAGTATGGCACGGTATACATCGACTGTTACGTGACGATGTAAAATGTCTTTTTAAAAGAACTTGCAGGGAATGGCGGGGAGTACAGTCATAAACAAGACAGACACCCTGCCTGCCCCTGGGAGCTGACATTCTCCTGGGGAAGACAGACAATGAGCGAGTGGACAGATGAGATGGTCTCAGATGGTGACAAGGACGCAGAGGGAAGAGTGGGATAATGTGGTAGAGGATCAAGGGGAGTTGGGGAGGGCTATTCAGGTGGGGGATACGGGGAGAGCCTGTCCTAGGAGCTGGCATTCAAAGTGAGATCCATCGGATGAGGGAGCCAGTGAAACGAGCAGCCCGGAGAAGACCTTCCGGGCAGGAGGAACAGGACTGACAAGATGCTGGAGCTGGGGAGCTTGGCGGTGTGAGGGATGCGATGGAGGATGTGAGACTGGAGCAGGAGAAGCCGGGAGAAGCTGGAAGCTGAGGAAGCTGGAGAAGCGAGCAGGGCCAGACCCCTCGGGTCTCGTAGGCTGTGGGTGGACTTTGGGTTTGTTCTGAGTGCAGAGTGTTACAAGAGTGGCTGGAGATGGGGTACATGCCACCACGAAACAAACACAGGAAAGTCTAGTAGCTGACCCTGAGGAAATGGAGCTCTGCAGATTGCCTGAAAGCAAATTCTAAGCAGTCATGTTAAAGAAGCTCATGTTAAAGAGCCTCCACGTCTCAAGCTGATGCGTTCCAGAGCCCTACCGTGCAGCACTGTGCCTCTGGGTCATAGTGCTGGGCTGTGTCTTACGACTCTGCTCAGAGGGCCCGTCTCATGTTAGGTATTCTTATCACACACACTCACAAAACAATGACTAACAAGGTGGAGGGAACTTTTGGAGGTGAGGATGTGTCTATGGCAAGATGGTGGTGCTGGTTTCACCGATGTATGCTCGTCTCCAAAGTCATCACATTGTATGTGTTAAATATATACAGCTTCTGTTTGTCAATTACACCTCAAGAATGTGGTTTAAAAAACAGTAAGAGTGGGTGGAGAGGAAACTGCCTTGGTCTAGAAGCTGCTGCAGGCCTCGTGGACGAGGCGATTGGGCCACTTTGACAATCCGTGTCAAGTGAGCAAAGCTCACACAGAGTGCTAGAAACCGTCATTTTGACTGTATAAAAAAAGGACAGAACCCAAAGTCCGGAGGAAACATGAAAATATCACAGTGATGACCTCCGGGCGGTGGGATTACGTACGATTTTCACTTGTTTTTCTTAAGCGTTCCTGTATTTTTTTCACACAAGACAAACAATAGAGGTGATTTCAAAATCTGAACGTGGGCCAGTCTCACTGATTAGTTGCAGACGACAGAACACTCTTTCTGGTTTGAGCTGAGGAGAATCTGTCCATGGGTGCTAGGACTGAGAAGCCAGGACCAGCAGGGGACCAAGCTTGGATGCCCCATGGCCAGGGACAACACTAACAATGACCTGGACAATCACTCTCCCCGCCCCAGACTGTTGCCATGGAAACCCCACCGCCTGTGATACTCAGGCCCAGACCCTGGAGCGTGCTGCTGTGGGACAACCAGACCCCCTGTTCCCTGCCAGCCAGGAGCCCCATCCTCCACCACCTTGGGTGGCTCACTTCCACCTTTTAAATCTCGGGCAGGCATCTGTCCAGAGGAGCTGAGGCCACTGGCAGATCCCTGGCTGCAAGGGAGTCACGGAGATGTCGATGGCAGTTTTTCCAGAGACTCCCATGCGGCCAAGCACAGAAGGAGGGCTGGCACACTGGTGGAATGAGTCAGCCTGCAGGGTCCACCAGAGGTGTGAAATAAGAGTGACAGAAATGATCACTTGCACCCTTGACCTTCCGAGGCCATGGGAAGGCTCAGCTATCCACTGTGTTACAAGGAGGAGAGCGAGTGGCTCTCTCTTGGTCCCGGGAGCACTGGCTCTCAGAGCGCCTCACCCTAGCTTCCACAGTGCATACTGTCCTGGCTTCCAGCTGCCAGCCTTCTGCTGGGACTTTCCTTACCGCTGGAGACTCCTTGGCCCCCTGGGTGACAGGCTCAAGTGTGGAAAACTGCTGTCCCCAGGAGCACCTTCAGCCGGTACCCCAGCTGCCTCACCCCTTGGTGGGAGAGCTCTGAGCGGCCTGCTCTGCCCGGCTGCCGGGCTCCCTGGTGGGCCGAGCTCCTGTTGCCCACGGTGGTGGGTGTCCAGAGTGGGGCCCCACAGTGCTGGGCAGCCCATAGGAGCCATTATTAGCCCCCGCCTCTTCCCTCTCTCACTTCCCAACCCCCCTGCCTCCACCACCCAGATAAACTCCTGCTCCAGAGTCCTCCTCTCCAGGTCTGCGTCTGGCGCCGCACAAGCTGAGGCCTCCGTGGCCTAAGCATGCGCACGTGGAAAGCCTCGTCCCGGCTCTGGAAGTCCTGCTGGGACAGTCCCTGGGCCGTGAGTCAACAGGTGTGAGGCTGCTTCTGTGACCTCACACCTGCTCACTCCAGTTTGGAAGGTTGTCCCGTTCCTGGTTCTCATCCTTGTGGGCAGGAACCCAGAGGGCTCCAGGACGCTCTCAGCTGCCCGATGCGCCCCCCATGCTGAGGCCAGGACCACGTGTGCACACAGGTGTCATCCACCCCAGGGTTCCACCCGGCCGTCTCTGCCTCTTCTCCCCATGTCATTCAGTGCTCCATCGGCCCTGCGACTGGTGATGAATCTCCATGGGATTCAAGGGCATCCTCTGAATGTGCCACCCTTGGCGTAAACGGGACTCTGCCGTGGGTCGCTGTTAGTGTGTGAGGTTGGGGCCAGCTTTGTCCTGGGTTCACAGAGCCAACTGTCCCCTGGAGCCTGCTCTGCTGGCGCACGAGGATGCTGGCTCTGGCGCATGGGGACGCATCCTCTACTACAGATGTCAGCTGCCCTCCTTCACTGCAGGTCTGCCCCTGAGCAGTGGCTTGCCCTAGCGCAGGGAGCTCACATTCTCATGTGACACCTTCAGACAGGGTGAGAGAGGCAGCTTGATTGATCAGCTGCTCTGTGCCAGGGGTGTGTCTTGTTTCCTTACAGCGTCCTGTGGGCTAACTGTTACTATCATCCCCAGTGCACAGATGTGGAAACCGAGGCTCCTCCAGGTTGGGTGACTCTGAGTCCCTTGGGGCCGGGGCTGGGGCTGGGACCGGGGAGGCCTGACTAGGGCCCGTGCTTGTTCCCTGGGTGTTCCCGCCTCTCAGACACGGGACGTCAGAGCAATGGGGCTCCTGGTTTGCTGCATTGCTGCACCTTGGCCATTTGTCAAGCAACCTCGTGCTGTCGTGGCACTGGGGACCCACGTGAACCTACAAATGCCCTGTCCTTCGGGGGCTTCCCCTAACGAGGAAGGCAGAGACGGTAAGCAGCCATAAGCAAGACGGCTCCAGGGGCCCTGAATGAGGGCTGCCATGCAGGGAGTAGACAAGCTCTGAGGAGGGGTCTGTCTCCTGCTGGGGATGAATGACGACACTGACAGCAGCCGATGTTATCCTCTGGGCTGTGTGGGCCAGGAGCCCAGGGCAGGGGCTGGGCGGCTTGACTCAGGCTGTAGGGGTCGGTCAGGATGTCGGCAGGGGCCGAGTCGTCCCATGCGGGGAGTCTCCCTCTCAGCTCCCGTATGTGGCTGGGGGCAGGAGGCGTCGGGTCCTCCCCACGTGGGCCTCTCCACAGGGCCGCTCACAGGCCGGGAGCTGGCTTTCCCGGGGAGAGATGAAGATGGAATCGAGGTGCACACACACACGCACATGCACACCACACACACGCCCCGCCTGCTTTCCTCCCCCCGCGGCTGGGATGGAATGGAAAACAAAACGAGGACAAGCACCCTCTCCCGCTGTTCCCGGCTCGCCCTTCCTCCCTGTCGGGGCTTGCTTTCCTTCAGGCTCCCTGAGAGTGGCCTTGGAGAGCCGTCCAGGTGACAGAGAGCTGTCTGCACCTTGTCCCTGGCCCCTGGGCTATGGAGACAGCACGAGTTTCTGCCCGCCATTCCGGTCTTCTGTCATCTGTCAGCACAGGGGGTGGTGTGCTGGGCACCGATGCCCACCTGGAATTGCTGGACGGGAGTCCAGTGTCCTTCTAGAACAAGGGGCTTCCATTCAGGCCGCTGGGACACACATCGCTGGAACTCCCTGCTTTGGGTCTCGTTTGCTGCCGGAGAGAGTGCGGGGCTTGGGTGCTGCCGGGGTGGCCGGCGGTTCCCCTGCGACAACCGGCCTAGACGTGCAAGGACAAGCGGGGGCTCCCTTGTAATGATATCCGGGACTGTATCCAATGGCAAAGAAGACACAACACATCACGATGCTATGCCACGCGTAACAGTAGATGGGTATGCTCGTTTACACGCGGAAACAGGCTCGCGCAACTGTTTCCGACAAGCCTCTCCGGCTGGTGTTGCCTGCGCTGCCCTGCTCCCACAGTCTCTCGGCCCCCGTAGCGCGTTTGCCTTCCTATCACTGGACCGTGAGCGTTGGACGGCCTGGCCTACGCCTCGTGCAGGTGTCCCATGTGCGTCGTGGGCCACGTGTCAAGACACGGGCATCCAGTAGGCAGTCACTTCATGGTTATCCGACAAACTTTTCAAGTGCTCTGCTGGGAGCCCTGTCCTCGAAGGGAGCCGCAGGCCTAGCTAGGGGCAGTCAGGATCCTGCAGCGGGGGGAGGGCGGGTGAAGGATGGCGGGTGCCGGGTGTGGCGGTCACGTCCCCTCATGACCTCTCTGGGGCGATGGCGCTTGCTCGCAACACTAGAGTGGCGGGGTGCTGGCCTCCCACGGCCAACAGGCAGCGCGTGAACCCGATTCACCCCGTGTGGAGGCAGAGAGCAGTCTGCAGGGTTGGCCTCCTCCTGCGGGTGCCTCTCCCAGTCCGTGGTGGAGAGCGTCCTCTTAGAGCACTGGTCCTACCGAGTTAGGGCCCCACCCTCATGGCCTCAGTTAGCCTTCGGCACCTCCTCACAGGCCCGGTCTCCAGACACGCCACCTGGGCCCAGGGCGTCAACATAGGAAGCTGGGGGGACACAAACATTGGTCTGTACCAGGGTGTGAGGGGCATCTGCAGAACTGGAGCGTGCACGGAGCAAGGGGTGGGGTGCTGTGGTCCTCTGTCGTTGTGTAACCAACCAGCCCAATGTTAGCGGTTTAAAACGGGAATCATCATTTATTGACTCAGGATTTCACAGTTTGGGCCCGGGCCTGGGGACAGCTCCTCTCCACCCTTTGTGACATCAGCTGAGGCCTTGCTCCCAATGCCGGCAAGTTGGTGCTGGCTGACAGCTGGGAGCTGGCGAGGCTGGCGGCCTGGGGCCTTGGTCCTCCTGCGTGTGGCTACATGGGCTTCTCTCGGCGTCCTGGTTGTTTCTAAGAGTGAGAGTGTTCTGAGAGAGAGGTTGGGCCTGAACCCGGCAGGAGTGTCCTTCCTGCCATCAGAAAAGTCACAGTGTCGAGGTACAGCTCCTGGCCATTCACACCACAGACCTTGTCTTGGTGTTTTTTGAATAAAAATGCTATCTATGTAAGGTGCACGGCACGCTTTGGTTCACAGATGCATAGTGAAATGGTTGCTACAATACAGCTAATTAACCTGTGCCTCTCCTCACGGCATTGTCTTTTCTGGCGTGGTGGAAGCACCTGCAGTGTGTTCCTAGCGAATTTCCAGCATCTGAGACGCAAAGTTAACCGTAGTCGTCGTGCTCACATTACGTCCCCGGGCTGACTCACCCTCCTAACTGCAGTGTGAGCCCTTGACCCGGCACCCCCACCCCCCGCGCCTGCCCCTGTTGACCACACAGGCCTCGTCTGCTCTCGGCCGTGTGCGATGGGAAACGCCCGCCTCTTATGTTGGCATCACCTCCTGGGCTACATATCTTCTTGTCCTTGAAGCGCATATTGCCCTGCTCTTCCCCCAAGCCAGCACCACCCCAAACAAGATGGGGCTGGAGCACGCCAAAGCTGGGAGAATCGGGGCCAGCCGTCGCAAACGTGGCACATCCCTCTGTGGCCAGGGCACGGGGCTCTCCACAGCTGGAGTTGCAGCCGAGTGTGTGCCTTTCTCTGGGGGGGGTCCCTGGCCTTGATCAGAGGCTCTATGGGGCTCTCAGCCAGAGAAGGGGTGCCGTGATCGTGACCACGGATCTGATCGCACTCCAGCTCTGCCATGCGGCTGTGAGAGGAGGACGCCGTCTGTCCGTCCTCGCCGAGCCCACCTCCCAGAAGCCACGCTGCTTCACGTGTCTGCTCCCCACAGCCCCTCAGCGGGAGTCCAGGAGGGCAGGCTCCAAATTCACTCACTCTTGTGTTTTCCTTTCTCAACTTTTTCTTGGGGAAAACTTCAGATATACACAAAAGTAGGCAAAATGGTATAATGGCCACCCCCCCACGCCCCCCACG